CAAGTCCCGCCTCTTCCTCGTCTCTGAGAGCCATTCATTGGCCCTGCGTGCATTTTGCTTAATAGATTATAAAGAATAGGGAAATTTGGTTTGCAACTATATACCTTAAAATTATGGTCACAGTTATAAATTTTATAGGTTATTAATCATGAAAAAGCATAATAATGCAACTACTTCTCTCAAATGATTAATAGACTAGAGATGAAAACCCAGAGGAAGAAGCATAGATGTTATTTCTTTATTTTCTCTTGTTTGCTGACATCGGATAATGCTTGACCCAATACAGTTAAAAAAAATAAATAGAGAGGTCAACAAAAGTATTGTTAACTTAGCTGTGTTAATCATAAGAAGACCTGTGGTTGCAAATGTGCAAATAATAGACACAATAAAGATACAAGGAGTCCTTGCCTTACAATCTTTGGTTTAGTGACCATTCAAACTTACAACATCACTGAAAAAAGTGATTTATGACCATTTTTCACATCTACAAATGTTGCAGCATCCAATGGTCATGTGATCAAAATTTGGCTGCTTGGCAACTGACTCATTTTTATGATGGTTTTAGTGACCCCGCACCATTTAATCTCTTTTTGCAACCTTCTGACGAGCAAAATTAATGGGAAAGCCAGATTCAATTTAGAACTGTGTTACTAACTTAATAACTTAAGTGATTCACTTAACAACTGTACAAGAAAGGTTGTAAAATGGAGCAAAACTCACTTATCAGCTGTTCTTGCTGAGAAACAGAAATGTTGGGGTTAATTATGGTTGTAAGTCGAGGACTATCTAGACTTATGTCCACAATTGGATACAGAATTTCCATTACTAAGCAAAGCAGTTTAAATGATTCACAACTTTATGACATTTTTGGCATGATTGTTAAGTGAATCACACAATTAAGTGAATCCAGCCTCCCCCATTGACTTTGCTTGCTGGAAGCAGGCTGGGATGATGCACACATGATGATTGACCCCAGGACCAGTGGTGGGATTCAATTTTTTTACTACTGGTTCTGTGGGTGTGGCTTAGTCAGCATGGCATGGCTTGGTGAGCATGGCAGGGGAAGGTTGCTGCAAAATCCCATTCCCTCCCCACCCCACTAACCTGCTTTTCAGCTCCATTCTCCTGTGCAGGGCAACAAAAGAAGACCTAGCCTATCAGCTGGGACTCGGGAGGCAGAGAATAGATGGGGGCAGGGCCAGTCAGAGGTGGTATTTGCCAACTACTCAAAATTTCTGCTACTGGTTTGCCAGAACTGGTCAGAACTCACCGAATACTACCTCTGCCGAGGACTTTGCAGCTGATGTAAAAATATGCCAGTTGCCAAGAACCTGAATTTTGATCATGTCCAGTAGGGAAGCTGCAATAGTCATAAGTGAGAGGACATCACAAGTCACTTTCTTCAGGGCCATCATAACTTCGCAGTCACTGAATGAATGGATGTCAATTGAAGACCATCTGTATGGTACAGAAATAATCAGGTTGTTGGTAAAGGGACTGCAAGGAAAGGAAACTCTATTTGATGTGAACTATCTCTTGACTGAACCTATCTCAAAGGTTATTATGCAGAACAAAATATCTAAAAAGTGATATTGTTACCTCTTGGAGAAAAACCAGGGTAGAATAGAAACAAATAAATAATAAATATTTGTATTTTTATGAGATTAAATGCATCCTTTAATATTTTCTAAACTTCTAAATATGGTTAGAATCTTTTGTATATGGTATTTCATCATCATTATGATCCTTTGAAGGCTGTTAATTTATTATTTTGTATATTACTTTTACTATATCACATCCAATAGCTATTTTTATTTGTTACTGATACAATATGAAGCAATGGGTCTGTAAATGTGCAAAACTTCAAATATGCCTTCACCCAATGACAGCCATTGTCAGAAGTGGCACTTAGAGTGCATGTATGTAAAGAATTGGGTGGCTGATTTAAAAGGTTCCACATTATATTAAGATGCCCCAATTTTTACTTCATCACTCTGGAAGTTGGGCAGATTTCCAAATAGAGCATTCCAATACACTGAAAGTGCAGATGACGCTTGTAGAAGATTTCAAAATCAGAAGTATAATCCTCTGCTATGATTAGGTTAAAGAAATGATACAGATGGCAAACAAAAAATTTATAACCAGAGTGATTGGGTTTTTTATGGTTCAGATAATGAATTAAGGGTACAATCTTGAAAGATATCTTAGCAACTTAGAAAGCATGTATCTGCGTGCATTTCCAGATAACAGATCTTGTGTGTTGGGGGAGAATTACCAGTAATTATTTTCAAATAATTCTATTCTTTAGATGTTATTTTGCAACCTTTTTAATATAAAGTATGACATAGGAAAGCTAGAAAGACTTGACATACCACCTTGTTTCTTTTGTGGAATTTCAAAGCATCATATTAATTACTATAATTACCAAAGCACTAAGTGGCATATAAATCTAAGGGCTAGTTCTAGTGCTAGCTACTGTAATGTTAAATCAGAGAATAACTACGATTAGAGATTGAGAGTTTCGTAGAAAGTTTAAATTAAATCCGGGAAGGGGGAATCATTCATACTACACTTTCTCTTCAACCATGGATGCAAAAACTGAATAAATAATAAACAGTACCTAAAATAAATCTATGCTTATGCTACAGTTATGCATAATATGGTTACTCTGATTCTTTTAATTTGCTTTGCAAAATCTTGGTGTTGTGAATTATTGTACAGTTGTATTACATGAGTGTCATTAAATGAAGAACACTTATAAAAATTATGCTTGCTTACATCAGGTAATTTTAGCATTTTTTTTAAACATTGAATTTTCTTTTAATAGCCAACTCACAAATATTCTCTCTCTAGAATAATTTTAGGGAGCGGATATTGGAGTGGATATTTCAATGTGAGGATGAACAGAGGTTCTTCATTCTGGATCGTCCTGAGAATCAACTTAAAATACTAAGAAAAAAAAACCCAGACCATTTTACATTTTCTATTCACTAATCATACAATTGGGTTCATTTGAAGAAATGCCAAAAGGGAGTCTTATTTTTTTCTCCAAGAAACAGTACATGGTTCCTACAGAATTGCTGCTAAATGTATTATTTCTACTGGTATAGAAGAAATCTTAACCCTCTGCATTATAAAAACATTAGTACTTGAATTGCTTCAAGAGTAACGTTTACTTTTTATAAAACTGTTGAAATACAACAGGGTAAACTTCTGTTAAGAATTAAACCAATTTAACTGACATTTTTCTTAATGGCTAAGGCTTTCTTTATACAATTGCCAGGCAGCAGTAAAATAAAGGAAGTCCTTGACTTACAACAATTCATTCAGTGATCATTTAAAGCAATGATCTTCAAACTTAGCAAGTTTAAGACTTGTGGACTTCAACTCTCAGAATTCCAGAACTAATATGACTGGAGGAAGAATTCTGGGAGTTGAAGTCCACAAGTCTTAAAAGTTATCAAGTTTGAAGACCCGATTACATCACTGAAAAAAGTGACCTGTGACTGTTTTCACTTACAGCTGGTGCAGCATCTCCCATGGTCATGTGATTAAAATTCTGATGCTTGATAACTAACATATATTTATGACTTTTTTAGTGTCCTGAGGTCATATGATTCCCTTTTCTCTTAATAACCGTATAACTAACAATAACTGCAACACTTCATTTAACAATTGTGGCAAGGAATGGAAAATTGGGGCAAAACACTTAACTGTCTTACTTAGCAAGGAAAATATTGGGCTCCATTATAACTCAAGAACTACCTATATTTGCAATTGATCATCTTTGCCCAATGCTAAGATGTCCTTCAAGCCTTATGCTCCTTGATTCCAAGACTGTTGGAGGAAAAAGGTAAAAATTAAATTAATATTCATATATTTCTACGAGGGGAAAATGTAACTTCTAAAAAAAGGTGGGGAAGAAGTGATAAAATATGAAAGGGAGTAAGGGAGTAAGTTCACTCTATGCTGGCTGTACAGTGGTGGTTTGACTTACCAACTCTTACCTCTGGGCAGAACAAATTATATTGCCAGTAACGATTTACTAATCCAATGACACATTCAAATATACAGTATTTTAATATATATAGGACCTTGTCACTGCCCTCCTAGCAGTTCGAAAGCATGCAAATGCGAGTAGATAAATAGGTACCACTTCAGCAGGAAAGTAACAATGTTCTATGTGTTTCAATGTAGTCGTGCTGGCCACATGACCACGAAAATATTTTCAGACAACTCCGGCTCCCTCAGCCAAGAAATTGAGATGAGCACTGCCCCTTAAAGTCAGACATAGCTCAACAGGGGAAATTTTTTCCTTTACCTTTATGGATCTGGCATCTATCCATCCATCTAAAGACCTATATCCTAGATTCTGCTGTCCTGAAGATTCACAGAAGGCAATGTTTGGTCACGCATTATACTTTTGGCCTAATTGACTAAAAATATGCCAAGGATTAAAGCAGAACTACCCCAAAATAATTTCTTTCTGCAAATGCAATAGACCCCCAATTTTCAAAACCCTCTACAACTTTACATTAGTGTTATGGACAAAAAACAACAACCCCAAAACAATAGTTGTACTGCATAATGTTTATTGTTTACATGTGGATTTTAGAAAAGCTGACATATTGGAAGCAGAAATGAGCAATAGCCAGAAGAATTGGATATTTGACGACAAGGGAAAAGAAACTAAATCTTCATTCTATAATGATATCTCCTCCATTTTTTCTGTTATCAGCATGATTTTGGAAAGATAAAACAAACCAAACCAAACCAAACACAGATAACCTTTTGATGGTTAGAACTACCCTTAATATTTACTTCATTCAATATTTACACTTAATCTCAGGGTGGCAGAGAATTACAAAATAGCTGGAGCATATAAATAAATGGATTTAGGAGGATAAATTAGGAACGGTACAATTCATTTCTAAGTTCCTGACATAAATCCTTAAGATCTCCACTTGAAATTGAATTGCATGTTTCATTATCCTCCCCAACCTCCCCTCAAACAATACACTATATATAGCCTGAAATTGTTTCTTCCTTCTTCAAGTGAGAGGATCTGCATGTTTCCAGTTGTATTCCATTGAGGTAGATTCCGATCTCTCATAACAGCTATGAAGATACCTAGTCACGGAAGGTGATTAAGTATTCAGGGTAAGCGAAATCATCAAAAAAGATCACAAAAATATTTGGATTGAAAAGGACATCCACCAAGCTATCATAGAGACCATTTCCCTCTTGTTTCACTGGAGGCAATACCATATTTTCTTTTCCACAACTATATTCCCCAGTAAGAACTCGAGCTTGAAAAATGTATCGGAGCCCTTGGGGATCTGGTTTGGCGTAGATCACAGAATGGGCAGCACCCACAGAAAAATAAATCCCTTGTCCGAAGAGGCATTCTAGAAAAAACAAAAGAGAGCATCATATTTATTGTACAGTTACTCCATTATTTCTCACTGTTCGGCACACTTCTTCCATATCAGCTTAGAACTTAGAAGACTCATTGGTATCATTTTTTATTTATTTTTGTACAGGTGGACTTTGACTCATCACCACAATTGAGCCCCAAATTGTCCATTGCTAAGCAAGACATTGTTAAATGAGTTTTTCCCATTTTTCAACCTTTCTTGTCACAGTTGTTAGTAAATCCCTTGTTAAATTAGTAACACAGCTATTAAATGAATCTGGCTTCCCCATTGGCTTTGTTTCTCAGAAGGTTGCAAACAGGGATCAGATCCTGGGACACTGCAACCATCATAAATTTGAGTCAGTTGCCAAGTATGAGAGTTTTAATCACACGACCATGGTCATAAGGGTGAAAAATGATCATGTCACTTTTCAGTGCTGTTGTAACTTTGAATGGTCACTAAGTGAACCACTGTAAGACAAGGACTACCTCTATTTGTACTGATAAGAAATATGGTCAGACTACCATGAATTTACACACATATGACCAGTGTGGATTTTCCATTATTCATGAACCTTTGATCTTGCATTAGATCTTGGAAATGTGATAAAGTTTTAATAAGGTCAAGAAAATGTGGGCCATATTTTTAATCCTCATAAACCCAGATGATATGCACATTTAGAATTAGTAACATGTAAAAGATGAATATTGGTCTATGCAATTCATCTTTCCAGGACATTGCTCAGACTTAATTCATCTGGAATTAAGGAGAAACTTCCTTACACTGAGGACAATTAACCAGTGGAACAGCTTGCCTTCAGAAGCTATTGGTGCTTCATCACTGGAGGCTTTTAAGAAGAGACTGGACAGTCATTTGTCTGAAATGATATAGGATCTCCTGCTTGAGTAGGAGGTTAGACTAGAAGACCTCCAAGTTCTCTTCCAGTTCTGTTCTGATTGATTGATTGACATTACTATAGCTCAACCTCTGAGCTGCAAATAAAAAGCAAACCAAAATTGATGGAAGGAAATAAGCTTTCTCCATCAGCTGAAGGGCAGGGTATCCTTTTGGTGATTTTTTTGTTCTAAAAATGTAAGTTACAGTGCTACAAAAGTTAATAGTTTGAGGTTTATGCTATTCAGGAAATAGGTTGCTTTTTGAGGATAACACAAACCAGCAGCAAAAACATACTTGGACCAACTTGGATTCTTTACTGATCGATTTATTTGTTCAAGAATAGACAGCCTTTGGGAAAGAGCAATAAAAACCCCTTTTCAGTTTCTTACTTTTTCGAAAAGCACTTTTGAAGCCAATATTACAGATAGAGGAATACTTGTCTGACTGCGTTCCATGATAAAGAATGAGTTCATTCTGTATCCTTTCTGGATTTTTCTTTTCCATCCAACTTTTTTTCCAACAATAGGAAACCCACAAATATCGGTTTTGGATCCTCTCTACCTATAAGGAAAAAACCCAGACCTTGGTAAGTCATTTTATTTTATTGAGCCTTGTTTGTCAGAAGAAGGGAGGGAGGGAAAGAGAAATAAGAAAAGAAAGAGGAAAGAAGGAAGGAAAGAAAGGAAGGAAGGAAAATGAAACAAGGGAGGGAGGGAGGAAAGAAAGGAAAGGAAGGAAGGAAAGAAGGAAAGGAAAGAAGGAAGACAGACAGACAGAAAGAAAGAAAGAAAGAAAGAAAGAAAGAAAGAAAGAAAGAAAGAAAGAAAGAAAGAAAGAAAGATTTTTTTTATAAAAAGATCTTAAAATTGTAGATTGAAAAAAGTATAAGAGAACTAACCTATAGTTTTGTGACTTTTTGCTATCATAAAATATCACACACTTTATGTCAGTGTTTATTGCAGAAATCAAATTCAGAAAGCACACATAGACAACAGATTCAGCAGGATTCATTAACTTCTTTATACGCATAATAATATATGAGTAAAATGTACAATACCAATAGTATTCTTCCAAAGTGGTAGTAGTTACAAACAAGCCCAGACAAGTTTGTAACTTCAGAGCTCAGAGAAGGCTAGTTTCAGTTCTCAGCACAGCATTCAGAGCTGCAGGGCTACACCCAGGCTCCTTCAGTTTCAGTTTCTAATTCAGTCTCATTGGCTGACCTTGTTACCATGTCTCTGTCAGTCATGAATGTTCTGACACTCCCTTCATGACTGGAAGAGACATAAACCCAACTAATTTAATATTCTTCCCATGGTGCACTCCATCCAATGGCTTAGCCATTATGTCAGCCAGATTGTCTTCTGATGCACAGTGAAGCAAACTAATCAATTTATCTTTGATGGCTTCTCTTACATTACAATCTTTAATGTCCACATGCTTGCTTCTGGTTTTTACTCTGTCACCTGTTGCCATTTTAATGCAGGCAGCATTATCCTCATAAACTGATTGAGCTTCATTTACTTTTACATTTAAATCCTATAACAGCTGTATGTACCAAGTTATCTCTGAACAGAGTTCAGACAAAGCAATAAATTCTGCCTTTGCAGTAGAAATGGCTATAGTTGTTTGCTTTCTGGACTTCCAACCAATTAAAGACCCTCCAAACAATACCACAATCTCAGAATTGGACTTTCTGGTTTTTACATCATTTGCATAATCACTATAAACATAGCAATTCAATTTTAATTCTTCAGAGACCTGTATTTGAAGACCCCAAATCAAGTTCCCTTCAAATACCTGAGAATTCTTTTTACACCCATCCAATGCAATTGCGTTGGTGCAGCAGTAAAATTACTCAAAATGCTTACTGCACAAGCTATGTCTGATCTGGAGCACTGTAACAGATATAACAGGCTCCCTATTGCTGACTGATATATTTCTGGATCACAGGCTTCATTTTCATCTTCCCCAAACTGTTATAAAAATCTGTACTCATAGGTGTTGGAGCAGTATTACAATCTTTCATGTTTTATCTCTCCAACAGCTGTTCAATTTTTCTTTTTTGACTGAGAATATAAGCATCTTTCTCAGTCTTTTGTATCTGCATACTGAGATCATTTTTATTTCTCCCAAATTTTTTAATTTCAATTTCTTCTACAACTTATTAGCACATTCCTTTACCTGTGATACATCCTTTGTAATGAAGCAAAGATCATCCACAAATGGTAATAGTTGACAATCCCCATCTTGAAACTTTCCAGTGTATATGCAACCATCAGCCTTGCAACTCTTGAACCCAAGACCCTTCAATGCCTTATCTAGCATATATTCCATTTCCTGGCTGACTGCTTCAGCCCATACATGGCCTTGTTCAATACACTGTGTTAGGCTTTTTACTTTCATACCCTGGTGTTTGAACCATATACATTTCTTCCTCTAATTCTGCATTGAGGAATGCAGTGGTTATGTCAAAATGCCAAATTTTATGGCCATGTGCCACTGCCAATGCTAGTGCCAGCCTGATGCTTTCACTCTTTACAGTTGGCATTGTGGAAAGGGAACTTCATGAGGACAGTGGTGATACCCAAGCAGGAAAAGCCCAAAGGGAACATCAGGCCAGTCATAAAACAAACTTGCATAGGAAAAGAGATTTGATAAAAGGTATTGAAAGAAGCCCCCTAGACAAAAGCCAAGTAATTAAGAAAGCTAGGGAAACAAGAAAAAGAAATCCCTTACAAACAAAAGGTCATGCCAAATCAGCAAAACAAATAGACAAAAGATACGAAATAAATTCCATAGCAGACAGGAGATTGCCACCAAACAAATATAAGAAAACATTAGGATGAAACTGATAATCCAATCAAACCACCCCGCAGAGTTTACCCTCTGGCAGAAATGAAGACAACCCCCTGACAGGATTTAAAACATTAAGAAATACAAACACAAGCACTCACGCACAAAAGGAGAAAAGGTATAAAAATCAGGAGTTTATTATACAAAGATGGCTAGTCCCAGGAACGCAGACTTCTTGCTATCTCTTGCCTTCCTGAAGAATAAACCAGCTTCCAAGCAGTTGTCTCTGTCTGTGTCCTTGTACTGGAGCACTCCCAGCAGGAAAACCGAATCCTTAGAAGAAAGGCATTTTCCAGCCTTTCAACAGCACAAATACCTCATCATAGTGCACATTTTTCATCTGTGAAAACCCTTGTGCCACTAACCTTGCTTTACATTGTACCTCATTATTGAGCAGTACTTTCTTCTTGTATACCCACTTGCATCCTACAACTTTGCTACCCTGTGGCAAAGTCATAAAAGTGAACATGTCATGTCCAGCCATGGATTTCATTTCCTTGTCCATGGCTTCCTTCCATTTTACTTGTTTAATTTTAGGTAGTGCCAAAACTTTGTTATTGTTTCTTGGCTCATATCATAGATTACACACTTTAACTTACTAGCAGAATACTTATTAGGTGGAATCCCTTTACTCCATCACTCTGACCTGCATGGCATTGACTGCTCTAGTGCTTCAACCCTCTCTTGCTTCGTATCTTTTTCAGCTTCTCCTCCCTGAACACTGACACAGTCACTGAGTTACCATCACTAAGTGAGTTACCATCACTAAGTGGATCACCATCACTAAGTGAATCATTCCATAAATTTGCATGAATTCTGTTTCAATTTTGCTCTGCAAAGCTAGCAGACCTGGAAATCACTATTCTCTTACTCCCATCGCTAAAGCAATAGCTCTTTGAGCCTGGCTCTTAGCCCATAAACCTGAGCTTTCTAGCCTTTGGTGTCCCTTTCTTCTTATTACTTTTGGAATATGCACCCATGCATTGCTTCCAAAAACTCTTAAATGTGCCAGAGATGGTTTTCTTCCATATAGCACTGCATATGGAATATCATTAATAGAGGAACTCCTCAATCAATTAAATAATTAGCAATCACCATGACTTCACCCAAATATGACCTGCTCAGACCAGAAATCTCTAGCAATGAGTCCTTCATGGTTTGTAAGACTCCATTCCGTCTCTCAGCAACACGATTCTCAGCTATTGGGTACGGATTTATGTGTCTGTGTTTTATTCTTAACTGTCCCAAGCACTGTTGAAAACTTTTTGACATGAATTCTGAACCTCTTATCAGTTTGCAGCTGACACCTGTTGTTTATGCCTTCTTTCTATGAAGCTTATCCATTGCTTAAATTTCTGTAGCACCTCTATTTTACTCTTTAGTAAATAGCAGAATCCAAACCTGCTATAATCAACTACAATGACCAGTGCATACTTTACTCCTCCCAAACTGGCTTGCATTGGCCCAACTAAATCTGCATGTACCAGCTCTAGAATTCTTGTTGTCTGCCCTGTGCTACTCTTGCTCACTGGGAATGCCTTGAACTTTGATGATATGCATATTGCACAATCCAAATAAGCCTTACATCCCTTTAAATTCAATCCTTCTTCAAACTGGTCCATCTTTTGCAAAATTGAACCTTTTGTCTTTACAACATATAAAGATTATTTTATGCCCTTTGCACATACAATTCCATTTCTCTTTATGACACACTGCCCATTTACAAATGTGGTCTCAAACCCCTTTTGGTCTAGACTAGAGACACTTAATAAATTACGTTCCATTTCAGGCATACATAATATATTACTAAAACTCGTTTCCAGATATGGAATTTGCTCACTACCTCTTCCAATGACTTTAGCCTTCTGGCCATTTGCCAAGGCTACTGCATCTCCACCAGCTGAATCCATCCTGTAAAACAATGTAGAATTGTTAACAATTGCTTGACTGTCTATCAACCATTTGTCTCTGCTATTGCAATAGCTGACTTTTGCCACAGCAACTTGTCCATCCGCCGACTGTCTTCCTTGCAAATAATTCCTGACTTGCAAATAATTTCTTTCTTGCAAACATTTTTTTCTTTGCAAACAGTTCTTCTTTAAATGTGTGTTTTTACCACAAATGAAACACCTCCTCTGTTGCTGGGCTGTAATCTGATCTCTTCTACTGCTTTTTTCTTATCTGCAGACAACTTGCCTGTTGCTCTTGTCTTTAGAGACAGCCAGTCTGTGGAACTTTCCATTGCTCTTATCTCTCTGCTCCTTGGGCCCCCACCTCAGGAATTTCTCCTCGTGACTTCTAAAATGGCGTTTGTTCTCTTCAGCTATTAAACAAGTCTTTACGGCCTCCAAATGCAATTTCTGCTCTGGTTTGCATTCAAATACTGCAGAAACAATGTCCCACGTGTCCCACCAACAGCATTCTCTGAGATTCAGGAATCTGCAACACACACTGTTCTAGCTCAACAAAGTTTGCATTTGTACAAAATGCTGCTCCACAGATTTTTCCTGGTTGCAAACTGGCTCTGTATAACTTCCTTGATAATTGTACAATATTGCTGACACACTTGTAGGAAGTTAGCATCTACACCTCTCCTTGAAAATTGAAATATCCTAGGAAATAATAAAAAGGCAGAATATTGCCCCTAAAAAGAGTAGAAACTCAAGAGCAGAAACTCACCTCAGAAGCAGAAATTCACCCCCACCTTTGTTAATGGGTGGACCATTAAGGCCTGGGCCAGAATACTTTACATAACGAAGATCTCCAGGAAAACCTATAGCAAGTGCCAAAAGCCCTTTTCAGTGCATCATCCTCCAGCAAGGCTCAACCAACCCTGGAATTCAGGACAGCCTACAAGTTGCCCCTGCATGGCCCCATGGGAGTCTGACAAAACCCAGAACAAAACCCAGGCACTCTCAGCACTTCAGCCTTCTTTTGATCTCTTCCTTCAGCTTTAAGCATGTGATCATCCTTCTCCAGGCCATGTAGTCCTGCCACCATTAAACCTTCTAAACAGCCTCCTTGTTTCCAGTGCCTTTTTCCCCACTTGGAACTGAACCCAGAAGGATATTTCTTCCAACACACTCACATGCAGACTTCTCAACTTCAGCCAGACCTCCTTTGCAGTCTTTAAATCAGCTACATTGATAACTTGTTCATCTTCTAAACTTAAGATGATGTAAGTGATTGCTTTATCATGCATTATTTCTGATCTGCAGCTGCAGGTGCCTGGGGTGGATTTACAACAATATCCCACAGTTCCTTAGCCTTTAGGAAACACCCCATCTTTGCAGCCCAAATTATATACAATAGTTCTTCTGTCCCAAACAAGGCAGAGAGCTCTCATGAATTTCAACAACAGCCATCCTGCAAAGCCTTCTTTGCCTGGTTTCTCTTTTTAAACAGAGGCAGTCTCTGCTTCAATTACAATTCAGTCTTTTTGTGTGCTTTGGGCTACCCATAACCTGTCAGCGTTTATTGCAGAAATCAAATCCAGAAAGCATTCATAGACGACTGATTCAGCAGGATTCATTAACTTCTTTATATACATGATTAAAATGTACAATACCAATAGTAAATTCTTTTAGCTCAGAGCAGACTAGTTTCAGTTCTCAGCACAGCACTCAGAGCTGCAGAGCCAGGCCCTTCAGTTTCTAATTCAACTCTCGTTAGCTGACCTTGTTACCATGTCTCTTCCGGTTCATGAATATTCTGACACTTTATCATGAAATGAGCAATATCAAATCTCAACTTTAAAAGAAAGTTTGTTGCTACTGTAATATATGACTAGTCTCTCTTGCTTAAATAATCTAAAATTAGTGTAGTTATTTTTCTCTGTCTTTTCCCCTGCTTTGTGCTTATTCTGTGCTTATATATTATAGTCTGAAGTTTATAACCTGGTTTCGAGAATGGGTTGCCTTAAAAAATACATACTAGCTAGGGAATTCTGGGAGTTGAAGTCCAGACATCATAAAGTTGCTAAGTTTGGAAAAGATTGGTCTATATTAATTAATCTTAATAGCAAAGTCTCCAATTAATCACAACTTACTTTGACAACTTTGTACTTCCCAGCTGTCTTGTTGAACTTATCCACCACATCCTGATATTCCTTTGAATGTGTCTGCAGTTCCACTTTCTTAATTAAAGATTCATCGATGGTGTCCCAGAAGGGAGCAATATTCTTGTCTGCAACAAATAAATGGATTGAACAAATGAATAAATGAAGAGGCCCTCCTATGATACATGTATAGATGGGAAGAACATTTTTGACCATGGAGAAGCTTCCAGTGATGGAGCACCCACAAATTCTGAAGGCAAGTGGTTCCATTGATTCATTGTTCTCCCTGTTAGGAAATTCCTCCTTAGTTCTAGATTGCTTCTCTTCTTAATTAGTTTCTATCCATTGCTCCTTCTCCTGCCCTCAGGGACTTTGGAGAATAGCTTGACTCCTTCTTTGCAATAACTCCTCAACTTACCATTATTCATTTCGTGACTGTCCGAAGTTCCAACAACACTGAAAAAAGTGACATATGATCTGTCCTCACACTTACAACTGTGCAGCATCTCCAGGGACACATAATCAGAATTCAGGTGCTTGAAAACTAGTTCATATTTATGATGTTCACATTGTCCCCAGGGTCCTGTTATCCCCTTTTGCGACCTTCTGACAAGCAAAGTCAGTGGGGATTCACTTAACAGCCAGGTTACTCACTTATCAACTGTAGTGTTTCACTTAACAACGGTGACAAGAAAGGTTGTAAAATGAGGGCAAAACTTACAACAAATGTGTGAGGAATTTTGGACTCAATTGGGGTTGTAAGTCAAGGACTACCTGTATATAAGATGGGGTCATGCGATCTCACTTGTAACCTTCCCAGCTGGCTTCCAACAATCAAAAACAATGGGGGAAATCATATTTGCTTAATGTCTGCATGATTCCCTTAACAACCATAATGATTCACTTAACAACCATGGCAAAAAGTCATAAAATGAAGCAAAACTCAGTTAACATCTGCCTCGCTTAGGAATGGAGATTTGGGGCCCAGGATCCAATCTGAGTCAGAGCCCATCCCTCAGGTAACTTCTCTCCAAAATATGTGCGTTTTGGGCTTGATTGTGGTCGTAAGTCAAGAACTATGTGTGTGTGTGTGTGTGTGTGTGTGTGTGTGTGTGTGTGTGTGTGTACGTGTGTGTGTATGTGTGTATAAAAGAAATCTTTTTTAAAAAACATTTTCATAGCTTAGCATAGTTGGCTTGCTAATTTCCCATGATAAAAAGGTTAAATATCAACATATATCAGTTACATGACCTGACTCTGAACCCCTGCTCAGTATTTAGTTGTAACATCAGAACAGTAGCATGAAGAAAGTCACCTTGGCTTCTAAAGCAGGAGGGAGCTTCAAAATTTTTAGCAACCGGTTCTTTGCCCGGTCGCTGGGTGGGCGTGGCCATGGTGGGTGTGGCCTAGCTGGCCCCCTGCACCACAGCCCTCCCCGGGCTCCAGAGGCGTTCCTAGAGTCTCCAGGAGGGCGAAAACGGCCTTCCCAGGGTCCAGAGGGCTTCAGGAGACCGGGAAAAGACCCATTTTCAGCCTTCCAGAGCCTCCAAGAGGCCCATTTTTTGCCCTCCCCAAACTTCCATGCAGGCCCTGCACTTACCTGGGGTCCAAAATGGGCTGCATGGAGACTCCTGGGAAGGGTGGGTGGAGTGGGAGGGGCCAGCCAGGGGTAGGATTTCACCAAACCAGTCATTAAATTAGCTACCAGTTAGCTTAGAGTTCACCCGAACTGGGTCAAATCAGTCACAACTCACCGCTGCTCCTAAGCCCGTTCCTTCTCAGAATCAAGGCTGCATTCAACCATACAAACAATTTGTCTTTCAAGCTGAGCAGGTGCAGAGTGTCTTTCGCAGGAGAGTTCCTCTACTAAAAATTCTATTAGCCAGCCTTGTATTATATTAAATATATTATATATGTACATCATACATTATATATGTAGTATATATAGATTATAATATGCATGTGTTTCTCAACCGTGAACTTCAACTCCCAGAATTCCTGAGCCAGCCATTCTGGGTGGGGAATTCTGGGAGTTGAAGTCCACCCATTTTAAAGTTGCCAAGGTTGGAAAATACTGTATTCTATCGTATTGGGTTGGGATGGTTCACATCCTGACCAGTGTCTCTTTTCACTTTTACCATTGGGCAGAAGACACAGAAGTATAGCCAGCCAGACAAACAGGTTCAGAAACAGCTTCTACCCATGGGCTGTCACTCCGAAATCACAATCACTCCATGTATATATGGAAACATATGACTAGTTTTCCCCCCAATTACTTGTATAAGGATTATTCTATACTATTCATGTTGTCTTGTATTTTTGTTATGGATCGCACCAGTAGAGGCTAAAACCAATTTCGTTGTATACATGATGTACAATGACAATAAAGGTTATTATTATTACATTATTATTATTGCATTGTATTGTATCGCACTGCATTGCACGGATTGCAATATTTTACTCTACTCCACTTCTACTGTATAAAAACCATGCTAGGGCTTATTTTGGGGGAAATATTCTATTATTCCATTCCACTCCATCCTAAAAGAGAATTTTTAATAAAGTAAGATACATCTTCTCACCCCATAAGCAGATCTCTCTCCTAATCTTGAATTTTTTCTTCCCAGGGATGAAGGCTTCGTCTGTCAGAAAGTTAACCTTCAGTTTTTCTCCATTCCATGGCACTAGTGCCTCCGTTTTTTTCTCGCGATATGTCTCCTCCAGATAGCGATTGGTTAGTATGTCAAAAGTAGACCATCCGGCATCAGACCAATGATGCCAACGGATAGTCTCATACAGAAGCTTGGAAACTGTCTGTTCAGCTTGAGCTTTTTGGATCTTTATAGTGAAAATTTCTTCTAATTTGGTATAAATCTTTCTGGAAATATTTTCAACATCTTCTCTAGAACCACAAATCCAAAACACCGTTTCTCTTAGGCGATGGAAGCCAACCGGATACTGAGGTGGGTTAGTTTTGCAAAGGGCTTTAAGGCTGTCATCACTGAAGGTTGATATCTCGGTATTACAGATGGTTTCTTTGTGGAATTTGGCAATAAAATCTGACAAATGCTGCTTGAGTGAAGTCACTTTGATTTGGATGCCCACAACAAAAATCACAGCCCTGTTGTCCTCAGCTAAGCCCTGGAAGGGAGGGAAAAAAGAACATTTTTTGTAAGAACAAAATCAAATGGGTTAGAAATGTGGATGTCAGTTTTTATTTGCATTGCACTCATGACAGAAGCACCAAGGAGTTTCTGGGTTGACAGAATTAGCCAATGACATCATCATTGCATGGGCGACACCTAGTAGAGGCCTCCTTTCATGCCCCATGCAGGAACTGGAGCAAAGGATGGGAGCTCACCCCACCCGACAGCAGCACTGAAGTCTTGAACTTGACTTTGCTAACTTCCAACCTGGTGTCCTAATCATACGAGCTGCCCTGTTCCTCAAGTTTTAATGTATGTTTCTAGAACTCAGTGTACCAGAATTATTCCCAATTCCATTTAGACTATTACTACAAAACCAATCTAAAAAAAAACCAGTTCTAGTACTGAGGAAACATCCAATCAATCATAAATCAGGAAACTTATATTGGGGTACATGCCTCAATTCAGGGATTTGACACAAGCCTAGGGCCAGTTTGTTTAGTTGTTAAGGCACTAGGTTAGGAACTGGAAGACTGTGAGTTTTAGTCCTGTCTTAGGTACAAAATATGCCAAGTGACTCCCTCTCAGCCTTAGGAAGCAGGCAATGCAGAGGTGGTATTCATCAGGTTCTGACCAGTTCTGGAGAACAGGGAGGGGAAAATTTGAGTAGTGCAAAGAACCACAAACACCACCTTTGACTGGCCCCGTCCCCATCTGTTCTCTGCCTCCTGAGTCCCAGCTGATTGGCTGGGTCTTCTTTGGTGGCCCTGCACAGGAGAACGGAGCTGGAAAGCAGGTTAGTGGGGTGGGGAGGGAATAGGAGTAACCTTCCCCCAGGAATAGTGTGTGAATGGAGTTTTTACAGTATCCTTTCCCTGCTACTCCCACCAAGCTGTGCCCACCAAGTCACACCCATAGAACCAGTAGTAAAATTTTTTGAATCTCATCACTGAGGCAATGGCAAACCTCTTCTGATATGTTGCCAAGAAAACTACAGGAGTTAGTACAGATGTCAGCATTGACTTGAAGACATATACAAAAGGGGAATGAATGCAGGTAGTCCTTGACTTACAGCCAAGGCACTAAACAAAAAACCTGTTACTTGGGACCTTTTTTCACACTTACAACCGCCACAACATGGGAACATGATCATGTAATGAAAATTCATTACTTAGTGACTGACCTGTGTTTATAATGGTTGCTGGTGTCCGGGGGTCATATGATCACCTTCTGGGACAAGCAAAGTCAATGGGGATGCCAGGTTCGCCGAACAACCGTTCTAACTGAATAACTACAGGGATTTACTTAACAACAGTGGGTTAAAAGGTAATAATATGGGGAAAAACTCACTTAATAACTATCTTGCTAAACCAATTTGGGGCTCAGTTGCATTTGTAAGTTGAGGGCTACCTATATATATTTGATAGAAGGACACAGAAGAACAACTAGCGGTTGCCTTAAAAAACACTTATTACTTACTTGCAAGACTCTATCATTTCTGGAATGGTGGTTCTCCAGGGTTTGCATCTTTGCAATACAATTCTGGGAATCTGCCATGTTGTTCAGCAGATCTGCCCCGTCTTCGGAGAAATAGATGCATAATGCTTTCTTCTTCAGAGATATCATATCAAATACCAGGGAATCCAAATCTTTCTTGATCACAAGAATGGCTTTCTTCACAAATTTCTGGAGTCCTTTCACTTGCAGTGACAACATATAATTACCTGGCTTGAATGTAATGTTCACCTTGAGGTGTTCCCAATTCATAATATGAAGGAGTCTCTCCCCAGCTAATACTAATTCTGGTTTAGTAAGCATCATACTTTCTTTCAGTGGGGAATTATCTCTTAAGTAATCCTCAATATAGTTTTCTACCACAGCAGTCTGAAGAGAAGGGCCAACTATGGTCACCTGATTGGATGGAGTGTAATGAATGGCAACTTCTTCATGAAACTTTAATCTATTTAACAAGTCTTCCCACTCTGGCTCCTTGGTGACCCACTGCAACTGTTCTACAATCTCCAGAGTCTTCTCAGACACCTCTTTCATTAGGATCATTTCAGCTTCTTTTATCTCACACGCACTTAAGCCACCAACTTGAACCATTTCAGAGATCTCCAAAACGGCTGGGATGTTTCTTTCCCCAAAAAAGCCATTATGAAAGAGTTTACCCCATTGTGCCTTGACAAACAGAAGCTGGAGTTTGGAGAGACAGACCGGTAAAAATTGGAAACCGCTAAGGAGTTTGTCAAAGTGCTCCTTCAGTTCTACCAACTTCTGACGGGGACCTCTAAATATGATGGTTGCTGGATCGTTGGCCAAGACTTCTGTGCTTACCAAAGGACTTGTTGGAAATCTCTTCTGGAATGAGCTTTCTTTTATAACAGTGGAAGGGACTGACTCATATTGAGCTTTGACTTCAATTATTTCAGACTGATATTTTTCATACACTTCTTCCATTAGGATCTTTTCAGCTTCTTTTATTTCAGATACACTTAAGCCACCAACATGAACCATTTCAGAGATCTCCAAAACGGCCGGGATGTTTCTTTCCCAAAAAAAGCCATTATGAAAGAGCTTACCCCATTCTGCCTTGACAAACTGAAGCTGGGGTTCGGAAAGAGAAACTGGTAAAAATTGGAAACTTCTAATGAATTCCTCAAAGTACTCCTTCACTTCTACCAAATTTTGACGGGGACCTGTAAATATGATGGTTACTAAATCGTTGGCCAAGACTACTACGCTTACCAAAGGGTTTGTTGGAAATAACCTTTGGAACAAGCTTATAACTGTGCAAGGGACTAACTCATATTGAACTTGGACTTCAATTATTTCAGACTGATATTTCTCAATCTTTCCATGAACAGCTTTCAGAACATTCTCCACATCTTTTTGGAAACCACAAATCTGGATTTCATTATCCTGCAACCAACGGATATCTACAGGAAGCTTGTGGGATATATTCCTCAGGAACTCATCAATGTTCATATTTTTAAAAGTGGTAATTGCTTCATGATAGATGGATTTTGTACAGAACTGTGCAAACAGACCAGCCACAATATGCTTCAACAAGTTCATCGAATTCCATTTGCCTATTACATATATTGCCTCTGAGAAGTCCATAGCACATCTCTAAAAATAAAAATAAAAAAATTGGGATGTTAGGGAGACAATAGTTTTTGATATGATTGATCATGTAAGTCAGTGTGAAATCTGCATTTTAAATTTATAGCTGACAAGTCCATCACATGGCCCAATCATATCTTCATCCTAACTGGAGACAACCCACAGTCACTCCTATCCAGATGCAGGGAAATTGTCCTTGGCTCCTAGAGAAAGGAATGTTTTTGTGGCTAAGCTTCCAATGCTCCATGCAATCCCCCCTCCCAATTTCCCAAGCACTAAATGCAGCGGCCTTGAAACTCCGACCAAAAAAATGGCTTCCAAGGCTAGAATTGTATTTGCACAAAATTCAAAAAAAGAGAAAATTCCGACAGAAGAGGAAATAATTAAAATAAATAAATAAGTAGATTGACAATGGCAATTAGAGAACAGGAAGAAAAAGATTATTATAAAAGTTGGAATCTATTTTATGAATGGCTAGACAGAAGAGTAAGAAATTGAAATATGTAATAATAGTACATCGTATTATAACCAATTGAATTAGATTAAGAAAATGAATATAATTTAAATAAAGATGAAATATATTTTTGAATGACAATAACTATAATGTTAATGATAATACAACAATTGATAAATGTGATATAAAATATTGATTAGAATAGTTATAAACAAGTAAGAAATGTATGATATTGTTATTATGAGCACAAGAGATATGTACCCAATCGACACACCATTGAATGGAAAGGTGGGGTTTTTTGTTTGTCTTTGTTTTTGTTATAAAATAAAAAACTTTTCAAAGAAAAATGGCTTCCAAGGCTGACAGATAATTTTCCGTCTTTCTAATAAACTTGATGGAATTGGCCAAAATGACAAAACTGACTACCTTGATCAAAGAAAAGGACATAAGTACTTTTGTTTCCACATGGAAACCACTTTTGAATTTCGTGCTTGATGTGGAAAAGAATGAAACTTTGATTTTGGGTTTTACAGATTAGATTGATAAATCCTTATAGAAATGACTTGTTCATACTATTATGGAAAAGCAAAAGGCTGTAGTCTGTTTAATGCCTTATTCTACTGTAAGAGAAAGGGTTGGAAGTCAATGCTGTTATGTCTTTGGAACTGGTTGGAGTCCCCAACCAGGTCCGCTGTTTGAGCGGGAGCACCAGCCGCTCCCATTGGCTGGCTCCATTTGACAGTCGGCTATAAAAGCCGGCTGTCGAGCAGAGCCAGTCTGTTGTCGCCAGCTAACCTGCTAGTTAGAAGGCAGATGCGGCAACCCTTTATTCCCTGCAATAAAGCCTGTTCGTTGTTCACTCTGGCTCTTGCCTCTTCCTTCCATCGCTCCACAACACTGGCGACGAGAATGGGATGTGATCGAAGGCTAGCCAGACGTGTTTTTCAATAGAGTTGTGGTCACTGAAGAGCGAAGCCACGGGCGCTGAAGCAGCAGCCGCCAACACTCACAAAGAGCGCGAAATTTAAAAAAAAGCCTCCGTAGCTTTTTGAGCTGTAGTCACTGAAAGCGAAGCCACGGGCACTGTAGCCGCAGCCGCTGGCGCTCACAAAGAGCGTGAAATTCAAAGAGCCTCCGTAGCCTAGAGAGACAGTCACCGCCTACGCTCTTCTAAGAGCGCGAATTTTAAAATACGACTGAAGAAGACGAACCCTGCATTTTCAAAATGAACGCTAATCCAGCATTCCCACCATTCAAGCCAACCGAGGAAACGTGGGACTCATACAAAAATCGTTTCAGCCATTTCCTTGATGCCATCAGTTTAGCAGACGCTGCTGAACACAGGAAGAAATCCTACTTCCTCAGCTATTGTGGGGCTGCAGTTTTTGACACCGCTACAGCACTAGTCGCCCCTCGCGCTATCAGAAGCGTACCGTGGGATGAACTCCAAGAAATCCTCTCCAACCACTACTCGCCAAAGCCATCGCAGATAGCCAGGAGATTCGCCTTCAGAATTAGAAAACAGGCAGAGGGTGAGTCAATCAACGAGTATATGGCAGCTCTGAGGACAGCTGCCTTGCAGTGTGGGTTCAAAGACTATCTAGAAGACATGTTATTGGACCAGATCGTCTGTGGGGTCAGGGACCTGAGGCTCCAAAGACGGTTACTAGCAAAAAAGGACTTGAACCTAGCTCTTGCCATAGAGGAAGCCCAAGCTGCTGAGCTCTCTGCCCAATCAGCAGCTGAAATTCAAGTACTACGTTAAAGCCCAGCAGTTCCACCATCCATTCAGAGGAAGTGCTCAGTGATGAAGACCCCACAGACTCATCAGACATCAACCGTCTTAAGCAACAGAAGCCTTCACAGGTAGGAGCGGGGCAAAGAAACAACTTCGCCCCCAGACAACCTTCCATTTGCCTAACCTGCGGAGGCTCCCACTCTAGGGCATCCTGCAGGTTTAAGAACGCCATCTGCCTAAATTGCCAAAAGAAGGGTCACCTCGCTAGAGTCTGTCAAGCAGGGCGTACCTTGCCTCAGAGACTTCCACCACCTTCTAACTCCCAAAGGCAAGTGGAGGACTGCTATACCTGCTACCACGCTAACCATACTTCCCAGACTCCCAATAAAATCAAAATTTCTATCTCTTTAGAAGGTAAACCCTGCAGGATGGAGGTAGACACGGGATCGGCACTTTCAATCATCTCCTGGGATACCCTAAAGAAGATCCAGCCCAGACTGTCAAAGAAGCAGCTACAGAGATGCCACCTGACACTGCGGGACTACCAGGGCAAGAACATCCCTGTCCTCGGGAAAGGCAAGTTTTTAGTTCAATTCCAAGCCTTTAAAGGCCATTTGCCTTTAGTGGTTGTTAATGGTGCCCTCCCCAGTCTGTTGGGGCTAGATTGGTTCCCCTCCCTCGGCCTTAGTGTAACTGGGATCCATGCTGTCTCAATTTCTGACGTAGATACACTATTTTCAGATTACTCTGATGTGTTTAGCAGCGAGCTGGGTTGCTATTCTGGCACCCCCATCTCCTTCTCTGTGGACCCTCAGGCAATTCCTCTGCGCCTTAAGCCGCGCAGGGTGCCCTTCGCCATCCGTCCCAAGTTAGACGCAGAACTAGATAAGCTACTAAAGCAAGGGGTGTTAGAACCAACTGATTTTGCCAAATGGGAGACCCCCCATAGTTACCCCACTCAAGAAAGATGGCAGTTTAAGAATCTGCGCAGACTATAAAACCACCCTCAACCGTTACCTACAGGTCAGCGCATACCCTGTCCCTGTTATTCAGCACCTGTTACACACCTTTGAACCCGGCACCATTTTCGCCAAGTTAGATATGTCCCAGGCATACCAACAGTTCCCTGTTGATGATCAGACAGCTGAATTACAAACCATAGTCACACAAAGAGGGGCATTCAAGTGTAAACGCCTCCAATTCGGTGTAAGTGTAGCCCCGGGTATATTCCAATCACTCATGGAGAGGATTCTCCAAGGTCTCCCAGGGGTTGTCCCTTATTTCGATGACATCTTAGTCTCAGCAATTAACAGACCTCAGCTCATACAGAGGGTCAGAGCGATTCTAGAGAAGTTTAGGCAGCATGGCCTCAAACTTAAAAGGGAGAAGTGCGCCATCGCCACTAGGCAAGTGGACTTTCTGGGATATAGGATAGACGCCTCTGGCATCCACCCAAACGAATCCAAGGTAAAGGCCATCCATGAGGCACCCACACCAACTAACACGACGGAGCTCCAAGCTTTTCTGGGGCTACTAAACTTTTACGCCTCATTTCTCCCGCACAAAGCATCTATCGCTGAACCCTTACACAGGCTGCTAGACAAAGAATCCCCCTGGCATTGGGGACCCAAAGAAGCCCATGCTTTCAAGTCAGTCAAATCCCTACTTACATCGGATGCAGTTTTAATTCAATTTGATCAACGACTCCCCCTGGTCCTAGCTGCTGATGCATCCCCTTTTGGGATTGGGGCTGTCCTAAGCCACAGACTTCCCAACGGTTCCGAGGCGCCAATTGCGTTTTTCTCCAGGACCTTCTCTATGGCAGAAAGGAACTACAGTCAAATAGATAAAGAGGCCCTGGCTGCGGTGGCTGCAGTTAAAAAGTTTCACGAATTTTTCTTCAGGCACCATTTTGAACTTGTAACTGACCATAAACCTCTCCTGGGACTCTTATCAGGGGATAAGCAAACCCCGCAGGTACTATCACCTAGAATGACCAGATGGACTTTGTTCCTGGCCGCTTACTCATTCAAGTTGGTGCATCGACCTGGCAAAAACTTGAGTCACGCCGATGCCCTTAGTCGCTGCCCCCTACCAGTCCCAGTCGAAGACCCAGCTCTGGTTCACGCCATTTTTGAAGTTAATGAACTTAAATTACCAGTAACAGCCGAGGACATTGCTGCGCACTCAAAAAAAGACAAGATAATTGCCCAGGTTCTGGACTGGGTGGGAAGGGGGTGGCCAGAAACTCAAGGTACCATTGACTTTGCTCCTTTTAAAACCCATCAGCAGGAACTATCGAAGCTACAGGGATGTCTGTTGTGGGGTACAAGGGTAGTCATCCCAGCCACTCTTCGTGTACCCATCCTGAAGGTGCTTCACGAGGGCCACCCGGGCATCGTAAGGATGAAGGCTCTGGCCCGCAGCTACATTTGGTGGTCTGGCATGGATGCCCAAATCGCCAGCTGGGTAAGCTCATGCCAACCTTGCCAAGAAACCAGGGCTGCCCCACCAGCTGCCACGCCCACCAGGTGGGAGAGTGCTAGTGCCCCTTGGTCCCGCCTGTACATCGACCTGGCTGGACCGGTGCATGGCAGGACCTTCTTGGTGGTTGTGGACTCCTACTCCAAGTGGATAGACCTGGCCCTGCTACCCTCGACTACCACCCTAGCGATAGTTAAGGCTCTGACCCGCTTATTCGCTACCCATGGACTCCCTGACACGCTGGTGTCTGACAATGGCCCGCAGTTCACGTCATGTGAGTTCAGTATGTACGTTGCTAACTTGGGCATCTGACACATCCTTACAGCTCCCTTTCACCCCGCTAGCAACGGGATGGCTGAGAGGGCAGTCAGGTCAGCCAAGGAGGCACTCGCCAGGTTTGGCCAGGAAAACTGGCACTCTAAACTGTCACGTTACCTTCTGAGCCAACATACGATGCCATGCACCACTACTAATAAATCCCCTGCCGAACTCTTGATGGGGAGACGCCTTAAGACCACCCTGGACAGGTTGCACTCCCACTACTGCCCGGACGCCCCTTTAGGGTCTGACAGTCTGGTCAGGGACTTTGCCCTGCATGACCTGGTGTACACCAGGAATTATGCAGGGGATCCTTTGTGGGTACCTGGTTAAGTCGTATCGGTCACAGGTCCGAGATCCTACCGGGTCCTCCTGGAAGATGGACGCTTGTGGCGGAGACACGTGGACCAACTCAGAAGGCGATGGAGAGGTGCGACCGTTACCGGCCCAGCCCAACCTTCCAGCACCAGGGGCTCCCTGCCGGTGCCAATCTGCTCAGACGGAAGCTCCCTGCGGGACCCAGTCTACCCCGTCGACCAGGAGAGTTTGCCGGAGGACCCGAGTTCCCGACCAGAGTCACCGAGCCAACAGCCAAGCGGACCTGTTTGCCAGCCGGACCTAGCGACTCGCCCAGGTCAGCCTGAACCGGGGGACTTACCGAACTCGCAGAACACTACACCTGACCAAGCACATTCCCCAACAACCTCCGAGGCGTTTCCCGGGGGCAAGGACTTGGCGCCAGCCAACAGTTTACCCGGGTTGCGACGTTCTGGTCGCCAGCGCAGACAACCGACTTACCTAAAGGACTACGCGTGTCCCCAGCTGGGGGAAAGGAGTGTTATGTCTTTGGAACTGGTTGGAGTCCCCAACCAGGTCCGCTGTTTGAGCGGGAGCACCAGCCGCTCCCATTGGCTGGCTCCGTTTGACAGTCGGCTATAAAAGCCGGCTGTCGAGCAGAGCCAGTCTGTTGTCGCCAGCTAACCTGCTAGTTAGAAGGCAGATGTGGCAACCCTTTATTCCCTGCAATAAAGCCTGTTCGTTGTTCACTCTGGCTCTTGCCTCTTCCTTCCATCGCTCCACAACAAATGCCTTTTCTTTTTCTTTCCCTATCCTTCCTCACTTTTCTTCTTCCTTTCCCCTTCCCCTTTCACTGTCCTTTTATTTACTTTTGCATTTTGTATTTTACAATATCTTATAACTTAATAAAATGTGGTAACTTTCTAATAAAGCTGAATGCAGAAGGGCGAGTCAGCAATATGGATTTTTATCTTTTACATTTATTTTAGAACTGAAAGCATGGAAGACCTCCTCCTATCTAAAAGTGGAAATTATTAATCAGTTAGAATAAAGTTTGTTGGGTATATGGATACACCAACTAGGTTTGGGTGAATAAATATATAAACCTAGGTTTAAGTGTTTGTAGCTTTAAGCACCAAACTGCAATGTAATTAGATAATTAAGGGTGCGGTTGCAAGCAGCAATATAAGGCAGTGAGAGTAACGTAACACTTCCTGGTTTCTGGTTACTGGTTCCTGCTCTGGTCCCTGGTTTCTCTGATCTCTGCTGCCTGCTGTTTACTACTGTTATGAGACGTCTGCTTGTTGGCTACTGTGCTGGATACCGTTTCTACTGAACAAAAGGACTGTTTACTTGGTGAGCTGATATCCTGCGAATACTCAGCATTGTCTTCGAGAGAAAGGTATCGGAAGGAGCAGATAAAGACATTGTACTGACTAGTTAATGGACTAGGTTACTGGATGGATATATTGGATAATGACATATGGACTGAATGACAATGCTTAAACTCTAAATGTATTAAATAACTATTTAAAACTACAAACAGTGTTTTTGTCTCCAGTGTGTGTATACTCTTGAGCCCAGCCTCTCTCTCATTTGGCTGCCTGGCTTGACTGCTGCTGTGCACTCTGCTTGGGGGTTTGTCCCCAAACACTAACAAAGTTGGAACTTGAAAGGGACCTTGGAGGTCTTTTAGTCCAACCCTCTGCTCCAGCAGGAAACTCTATATCATTTCAGACAGGTGGCTATCCAGTTTTTTCTTAAAAACATCCAGTGATGAAGCACTCACAACTTTTGAAGGCAAGCACTGGTTAATTGTCCTCACTGATAGAAAGTTTCTTCTTAATTTCAGGTTTATATTCTCCTGGATTAGTTACCATCCAATGTTTCTTGTCTTGCCTTCTGCTGCTTTGGAAAATAAGTTGACCCCCTCTTCTCTGTGGCAGCCCCTCAAATACTGGAATACTATTATCATGTTACCCCTAGATGAGGGAATAGAAGGGGAACTTACCAAATTTGCAGGTGACACTAAGCTGGCAGGAATAGCTAACACCCAAGAAGATAGGCTCAAGATCCAGATGGATCTTGACAGACTAGAACACTGGGCCCTACCTAACAAAATAAAATTCAATGTAGAGAAAAGTAAAATCTTACACTTAGGCAAGAAAAACCAAAAGAACACATAAACTGGGTGAAACTAGGCTTAATAGCAATAACTGTGAGAGGGATCTTGGAGTCTTAGCGGACAACCAGCTAAATATGAGCCAATAATGTGCAGCGGCAGCCAAAAAAGCCAATGCAATTCTAAGTTGCATTAATAGAGGGATACAATCAAGATCAAGTGAGGTACTAATACCACTCTATAAAGCCTTAGTAAGACCATACCTAGAATATTGCATCCAGTTTTTGTCACCAACAGTGGTGGAATTCAAAAAATTTTTACTATCAGTTTTATGGGCATGGCTTATTTGGTGGGCATGGGTTAGTGGTCATGTGACTGGATGGGTGTGGCTTAGTGGTCATGTGACTGGGTGGGTGTGCTTGGTGGTCATGTGACTGGGTGGACATTGGTGGTCATGTGACTGGGTGGGCGTGGTCAACTCAATGTCACTCACCTCAAGGGGTGCCTCACCTGGCCCCTCCCCTCCCAGCCATTCCTTGTTACCCAGCCTCAACTTATCTATAGTTCTGTAAAAATGTTGTTCACCTTTTTTGACTTTATTATCTGCATACTATAGATGTACTTTCATGGACCACTGAAAGAAGGAAATGGCTCACATGCTTTACTTAAGAGTGTGATAGGCAATGGGCTTTTAAGGGGCTGCCACAAAGAAAGGGGGACAATGTATTTTCCAAAGAAGCAGAAGGCAAACAAGAAGCAATGGATGGAAACTGAACAGAAAGAAGCAACCTAAAACTAAGGAGAAACTTCCTGACAGTAAGAACAATTAACCAGTGGAACTGCCTGTCTACAGAAGTTCTGGGTGCTCAATCACTGGAAGTTTTTGAGAAAAGACTGGACAGCCATTTCTCTGAAATGGTATAGGATTCACCCCAAGGTCCCTTCTAAGTATTATTCTGACACCTTTCCCAGGATTTCTACTCAGAGTTTGGCATCCTCAGTTTTCTTGCCAGACCTGGGGGTTGGACTAGAAGACCTCCAAGGTCCCTTTCAACTCTTGCTAAACACATGTGTATTTTATGCTCTGGACTATTGACATTGAATGCATGTAAACCCTGAAAAATATGTGGTAGCCCTGGGCAAAAGAAAGGCAGAAAAATCACCCTAGGTGTAGGTACAGTGTAAAATATTGGCACATGATAAATAATGGAACAATTAAAAATAATAGCACAGAGTTTTATCTCTCTCTCTCTTCCTATTTTTTCTTTCTTTGTCTACCTTCTTCTTTCTTTCTTTCTCTTTCTTTCTTTCTTTCTTTCTTTCTTTCTTTCTTTCTTTCTTTTTTTTTCTTTCTTTCTTCCTTTCTTTCTTATACACACACACACACACACACACACACACACACACACACACACACACAGAGCACTTAACAAGCATTTTGGAAGCACTCCTTTAAATTTCTCCAAAGCTTGAGTGGATTCCCCCACCCCCTCTGTCAGACCGCACTCCTTCTCACTCCAGCACTTTAACTCACAAGGGGAAAGCCATACTTGCAGCGTCCATGGGGAATCCTTGGAGAAGTTTTTAAAAGACCTGCTTCCAAAATGCATTTCTTTTACATTGCAAAAGTGCTCCAAGGCTCGATTCACTCCCACCCTCTCTATCAGACCGCACTCTTTCTCACTCCAGGCACTTTAATTCACATGGGGAAAGCGATACTTGCAGCATCCATGCCTTTCTTCCTTTTTCCCGGGGAGAAAGAGGACGTGTGGAATGGAAAGCTAGGAGAGCGATCGCAAGTGAGCAACCGGGCGACTGGGTTGGGGGCATGGCCAGCAGGGATTGCCACCGGTTCAGTGACCCATGCCAAATAACCGCTACCAGTTCTCCCGAATAGGTGCGAACCGGTCGAATAGTACCTCTGGTCACCAAACTATAAAAAAGATGTTGGGACTCTAGAAAGAGTGCAGAGAAGAACAACCAGGATGATTGGGGGCCTGGAGACTAAAACATATAAGGAACTCAACATGGCTAGTCTAGTGAAGAGAAGGACCAGGGGAGATATGATAGGAGTGTTCCAATATTTGAGGGACTGCCACAGAGAGGAAGGGGTCAAGCTATTCTGCAAAGCACCTCAAGGCCAGACAAGGAATAATGGATAGAAACTGAACAAGGAGAGATTCAACCTGGAAATAAGGAGAAATTTTCTGACAGTGAGAACAATCCACCAATGGAACAGCTTGCCTTGAAAAGTTGTGGGAGCTTCATCACTGAAGGCTTTTAAAAGGAGACTGGACTGCCATCTGTCAGAAGTGGTGTCAGGTCTCCTGCTTGGGTGGGGGGGTTGGACTAGATGACCTACAAGGTACCATCCAACTCTATTAATCTTCCTCACCATGTCACACACACACAAAAACCTCATCAAGATTAGCTCTAAACATATAATTTGCATTCATACTTATGTATAAGCATGGATGAAACTTTTTTTAAAAAGCAAATAGAAACTATAAAAAAAATAGATTATACTTACTTCTTCCATGGAGTTCTCATTCGTGATGTTCTTCCAATCATCGGACTCTTCAGTCTTTATCCAAGCAATGCAACCCAACTGCCAAGCCATGTTCTTGAGCAGACTTGCTCCAATTCCAAAGATATATTCTCGAAGAATTCTCTTCCTTAGAGGTATTGTATCAAGCACCAAAGAATCCAAGTTCCTCTTGATGGCCGGCATGGCTTTTTTCACATATTTTTGAAGACCTCTCACCTGCAGCACTGAAGGCTGACTTTTCACCTGGAGTGCAACATTCATCCTGAGATGTTCCCAGCCCATAATATGAAGCAGACCGTTCCCAGCTAAAGCTAATTCTGGTCTAACAAGCTTCACTTTTTCTTCCACTGGAGAATTTTCTCTCAAATATTTCTTAATAGATTCTTCTACTTGAATGACCTTAGGACAGAAACCCACCAGGATCACCCGACCAGGTGCCACGTGATGAATGGCTACTTCATTATGAGTTCCCAGACTTAGCTTAAGTAGCAGCAACTTCCATTCTGAAACCTCAGTAGCCCACTTCAAATCCTCTGCAATCACCATAGCCCTTTCACACACTAGGTTCATGAGGATCTCTTCAGCTTCTTTCATTTTGCCCAAGTCTAGGCCAACAATCTGGACACCCTGAGAGAGCTCCAAAACAACTGGGATGCTGCTCTCTAGGAAGAAGTGCTGGTAGAACACTTTGCCCCAATGTGCCCTGACAAACTGCAACTGGAAATCAGAGAAAGGGACTGGTAGAACCTGGAAGCTGTTCAAGAGCTCCTTAAGACGCCTCTCTACTTCCTTGACTGTCCTACGGGATCCCCCAAATCTGATAGTTGCTGGAGTCTTAGCAGTAATTTCAAGCTTTATCATAAGATTGGACTGGAAAACCTCCTGAAGTACAACATCTTTGGCAATAGTATACCGGAGTACTGGTTCAGCTGTGCACTCCCAGTTCACCAGTTCCCTTTGAAAGGCCTCGTGGGCGAGATATTGCAAGAAGCAATTGATCTCATCTGACAGGCCTACAAGCCAAATTTGATCAAGGATGTAGATCCTGAGGGATTCAAATCTATTTTTAAGTTTTAGGTGGTCAAACAAGACTTTTAGAATCTCTGTTCTTGTCTCATGATGTAGCACATACTTCTTCCGCACAAACTCAAAAGATTTTTCTAAGCCAAGCAGCTGCACAGACTGATCAATGGCCTGGAATACCAACAGTTTCCTATCCATGTCTATCTGGATGTTGTAACCAGCCTTCTTCAATTGCACTTGAAATTCACTGAAGGCATTTAAGTTTTCTTCCAGGTACCAGAGGAAAAGTGGTTCTTCTGAATGACATAAACCCACCGGCTCTGAAAGAAAGATGGAGGTCATGAAGATTAGGCCAGGATGCTACTATGATCTGATTTTCTTCTCAATTTCCCTGCTCCCTTATTGAAATACTTAAAGAGAAAATACCTTTTACAAGGAATCAGGGAAGGAGGAAAAACTGAAGTTTAGTTTATTATTATTATTATTATTATTATTATTATTATTATTATTATTATTATTATTATTATTAATTAATTGATTTATCAATCACTTACAAGATAATAGGAATAAGTATAAACATGAGTAAGAATACAGGAAATAAGTATGAATAAATAGGGACAATAGGACAGGCACGGTAGGCATGATTGCGCACTTATGCACACCCCTTACAGACCTCTTAGGAAGGGGGTGAGGTCAGTAGAGGTTAGTTTAAGGTTAAAGGAGTTGTAGAGAATAAACCCAGTCTGGATTAATTCCCCTATCTATGGCCAACTATAAGTGGATATAGATACACTAACTATGACTATAGATACACTAAAAGTGTATCTCCTCAATCCCATCTTCAAATCTAAAGCTATGTTGTGACTGTTTAATTCTGCTATCAAGTTCACTTCAGTTGGCTACGTACAGGTAGTCTTCAACTTACAATCACATTTGGGACCAGGATTTTTGTGGTTAAGCAAAGCAGCTATTAAGTGAATCCTGCACGATTTTTGATCTTTTTTTTTGCCTTGGTTACATGTATCACTGAAGTTAAGCGAATGGCACAGTCATTGAACAAATCTGGCTTTCCCCATTTATTTCTTTTGTCTGAAACTGGCTGTGAAGGTCACAAATGACAATGAGGTGACTCCAGAATTCTGCAACCATATGGAATGGAAATAATGGAAATGGGAATGGGAATAAAATAGAGCAGAACAAGAAAGGAAATAGGATATGATAAGAAAGGATAGGATAGCATGGAAGGGGAGGGGAGGAGAAGGGGAGAGGAGAAGAGAGGAGAAAAGAAGACAGGACAAGAAAGGATAGAATAGGATAGGACAGGACAGAATAAGAAAGAGGATGGGATGGGACGGCATGGCATGGGAGGGGAGGGGAGCGGAGGAAAGGTGATGGGGAAATGAGAGGAATGGAGAGAAGGGAACAGGACAAGACAGCATAGGACAGAACAGAATAGTTGAGTTGGAAGGGACCTGGGAGGTCTTCTAGTCCAACCCCCTTCTCAGGCAGGAAACCCTATACCAAATAGTTGTCCAATCTCTTAAAAACCTCCAATGTTGGAGTACCAACAACTTTCGGAGGCAAGTTGTTCTACTGATTAATTGTTCTAATTTTCAGGAAATTTTTTCTTACTTCCAGTTTGCCAATTGCCAAGCACCTCAATTTTTATCAGTGATTGTAGGGACGATGATCATAAATGTGAGGACCAATTGTAAGCCACTTTTTCAGTACCACTGTGACTTCACATGGTCGCTAAATGGATGGTTGTAAGTCAAGGACCACCTGTACATCCAAACTTGTTAAGCAAATCATATTCATTTCAAACCATGGACCACAGAGCCGTATATGGTATCATCTGCAGAATTCTTCAGGGTGATGTTAACCAAGCAGTGTTCCTAAGGTTTGTTTCAGATTTGTTTATTATTTTAATTTGGGGGATCTGAAAATACTTTGCCAATGATGTAGGCAAACTTGATTTATGCATGTTTCTTTCTTTCTCAGACATTTCAGTTGGGCACAAGTCAGCATAAATAAGAGCAAGTCACTGATATCCCTTCCCCTCTCCCATCAACTAAAAACTAGTGTGCCTATGCTGCTATCTAGTGGATAATTTTGCTAATAATTTATAATTTACTTTATATAGTTTCAAAGGTGCTTTTTCAAGAGACAACTGGACTTTTTTTTTTTGAAGATGTTTCATTTCTCATCCAAGAAGCGTCATCAACTCAAAGGAAAACCAGAAAGTCCAGTTGCCTCTTGAAAAAGCACCTTCAGGACAACCTTGACCTGGTTGACTGAGAATCCCCATAGATACTGTATAGTTAGTTCTTTTACTTATTTGTAAATTTGCCGCCTATCTCCCCATGGGACTATTGTAGGCAGGCTTATGATAAGGAAGAAACAGAACAGAGGTAACATAATAGAATAATAAAATAAATAAAGGAACCCAACAAGAATAAATACATCAATATGACACCATACTAACTTGATTAATTTTAATCTTGGCTATTTTAGGTAGTTTAGCATGCTGTGCAACCCAGCCTGTTCAGTGTATTCATGACTATTATAAATCCAGAAAAGTTGAGATAATAATCAGGTTAATCATATTGCGCACACTATTTAAGTCACGCCCACATTTTTTGGTAGTTGGAGAACTAAAGAATAGCTTTGTCCATTGCATGTCATTTCCTTAGCATATAATGATAACTATCATGTAGCACAATTGGAACTGGGCTTGTACAGGACGAGTCACATAAGTCTGATTAATAAATGTATGGAGTAAGAGCAACTACATTTCCAGACATCTGTGTGTTGTGTGTCTCATTGATGCAGCAATGAGAATTGCAGGGTCTTACCTGCAGCAAAGGAGAGAGCCTTTTCTATCTGTTAAGACAAAAAGACATTTCATTTGGACATGTTAAATGAAAAATAAGATATCCTAGAGTTGGCACATTTACATTCTTTCTATTTAAAAATGGGATCATTACTTTATAAAACTTATATGCTACCCTTCTCGCAGTACAGAGTGACTGATATCCAGAAATTAAGCATTCTGTTGCCTGCTTTAATTTCTGCATGTCCTTGTGTCATTCAGGTTGTATTGTTCAGTCATGAAGCTTAAAAGAAATGCATCTATTATAGAATTAGCTTATTGAGGTATTCCCAGGAAAATATTGTAACATGCACAATAAATGTGCAGAAAATCATCACAGATCAGTCTTCCCATCCTTTACAATCCCAGATCTATGGACTTGCTGAGAATTCTGAGCTTTAAAGTCCAGGCACCTAAAGGGTGCAATCTGGATATCATTTCCTTCTTCATCTGAGAATCCACGTGGATATAAATGTAGTCCTCTACTTATGACCATAAATGAGCTCAAAAATTCAGTTGCTAAGCCAGAATCCTGTTAAGTGAATTTTGTCCCATTTTACACTCTTTTTTGCCACAGTTGTTAAGTGAATCACTGCAGTTGTTCAGTTAGTGACACACTTGTTAAGTGGATCTGGCTTCTGCCATTGAATTGCCTATCAGAAGGTCACAAAAGGAGATCACATGACCTCTGGGATGCTGCAACGGTCATAAATATGAGTCAATTGCCAAGCATCTGAATTTTGTTCAGGTGATCATAGGGAGGCTGCCATGGTTAAAAGTGTGAAAATGGTCATAAGTTTTTCAGTTTATTGAGTGACCATTCAGAGTTACAATGGCATTTAAAAAGTGGTTTTTCAGTGCCATTGTAACTTTGTACAGTCACTAAATGAACTGTTGTAAGTTGAGGACTACTTGTGTAGACACACACATACTCTAGAACCACTTGATGCCCAAGATGGTTACCGGACATGGCAGAATGCATCCTGGAAGGGGCCTGATTTGCACCAGCTTCATCCAAGTATTGGGAAAGTTTTTCAAGAACCGATTCACTTCATCTATTAAAATTAGAATCCATTCCCACATCGCAGCTTGATCTGCATCTACTGGCTGGAAGATGGGAAACACAATGGATTCCAGGAAAGACCCATAGAAGATGCGGAGACAGCTTTGGACCATGTTTCGAATAACCTGCTGGGAAAGTAACATACATAAAATGATTAGGATGAACAACAAAGATGATTAGGGGACTTGAGACTAAAACATAAAAAGAACAGTTGCTGGAATTGGGTATGTCTAGTCTAATGAAGGACTAGGGGTGACATGATAGCAGTGCTTCAATATCTCAGCAGCTGCCACAAAGAAGAGGGAATCAAACTATTCTCCAAAACACCTTTGGATAGGACAAGAAGCGATGGGTGGAAACTAACCAAGGAGAGAAGCAACCTAGAAATAAGGAGAAACTTTCTGACAGTTAGAACAGTTAATCAGTGGAATAACTTCCTCCAGAAGTTGTGAATTCTCCAACACTGGAAGTTTTTAAGAAGAGGTTGGACAACCGTTTGTCTGTAGTGTAGGGATTTTTGCCTAAGCAGGGAGTTAGACTAGAAGACCTCCAAGGTCCCTTCCAACTTTGCATTTCCTCTATTCTATTCTATTCCTATTCTAAAAACTAAGCCAAGGATTTGCCACGGTTGCTAAGTGAATCAATGTAGTCATTAAGCCAATCTAGCTTCCTCCATTGACTTTGCTCATCAGAAACCAGCTGGGAAGGTTGCAAGTGGCTATCAGATGACCTCAGGATGTTGCAATCATTGTAAATACACATTGGTTGCCAAGCGCAACCCCAAAATTTTGTTGATTCATCTGTGGATAGTTAATGGCAACCATATGACTTAATGGGTCAATGGAGTGTTAGTTTACTAAAACTTGGCTTCAAAATCCTGACTCATCCACATACACAATGCATGTATCTACATACAGTTAGTCCTAGACAAAAATTAGCATGCTCATGGGATGATTTCTGCGTGTTTATAACTTTTATTGTTTATCAATGTACAAAATATAATGAAAAATAAAAATAGGAAATTAAGGGAAGAAAAAAGAAAGGTGGAACGAAAATATGAGGTACGAGGGAAGAAAGAAAAAGGCATTGATTCTGATTCTTTTTAGCACAGTACAACATTACAACCTCCACTTTTTACTTTTCTGCATTAGTATGTAACTAGCCATATCTGTTACAACAAATACACCAAAGGATAGTTTCAACTGAATTACACTGCTCAAAAAAAAGGGAGCACAAAAATACGACATCCTAGATCTGAATGAATGAAATATTCTCATTAAATACTTCATTCATTACATAGTTGAATGTGCTGACAACAAAATCACACAAAAATTATCAATGGAAATCAAATTTAGCAACCCATGGAGGTCTGGATTTGGAGTTACACTCAAAATTAAAGTGGAAAAAAACACTACAAGCTGATCCAACTTTGATGTAATGTCCTTAAAACAAGTCAAAATGAGGCCTCCATGTGCCTGTATGACCTCCCTACAATACCTGGGCATGCTCCTGGTGAGGTGGCGGATAGTCTCCTGAGGGACCTCCTCCCACACCTGGACTAAAGCATCCTTCAACTCCTGGATAGTCTGTGGTGCAACGTGGCATTGGTGGATGGAATGAGACATGATGTCCCTGGTGTGCTCAATTGGATTCAGGTCTGGGGAACAGGTGGGCCAGTCCATAGCATCAATGCCTTTGTCTTGCAGGAACTGCTGACACACTCCAGCCACATGAGGTCTAGCATTGTCTTGCATTAGGAGGAACCCAGGGCCAACCGCACCAGCATATGGTCTCACAAGGGGTCTGAAGATCTCATCTTGGTACCTAATGGCAGTCAGGCTACCTCTGGCAAGCACATGAAGGGCTGTGCGGCCCCCTAAAGAAATGCCACCCCACACCATTACTGACCCACTGCCGAACCGGTCATGCTGGAGATGTTGCAGGCAGCAGAACATTCTCCATGGCGTCTCCAGACCCTGACATGTCTGTCACATGTGCTCAGTGTGAACCTGCTTTCATCTGTGAAGAGCAAAGGGCAACAGTCCCAAATTTGCCAATCTTGGTGTTCTCTGGCAAATGCCAAACGTCCTGCACGGTGTTGGGCTGTAAGCACAACCCCCACCTGTGGACATCGGGGCCCTCATACCACCCTCATGAAGTCTGTTTCTGACCGTTCGAGCAGCCACATGCACATTTGTGGCCCGCTGGAGGCCATTTTGCAGGGCTCTGGCAGTGCTCATCCTGTCCCTCCTTGTACAAAGGCGGAGGTAGCGGTTCAAAGGCTGAGTTATTGCCCTCCTACGGCCTCCTCCACGTCTGCTGATGTACTGGCCTGTCTCCTGGTAGTGCCTCCATGCTCTGGACACTACGCTGACAGACACAGCAAACCTTCTTGCCACAGCTCGCATTGATGTACCATCCTGGATGAGCTGCACTACCTTAGCCACTTGTGTGGGTTGTAGACTCCGTCTCATGCTACCACTAGAATGAAAGCTCTGCCAGCATTCAAAAGTGACCAAACCATCAGCCAGAAAGCATAGGAACTGAGAAGCGGTCTGTGGTTACCACCTGCAGAACCACTCCTTTATTGGGGATGTCTTGCTAACTGCCTATGCTTTCTACCTCTTGTCTATTCCATTTGCACAACAGCTTGTGAAATGGATTGTTAATCCGTGTTGCTACCTAAGTGGACAGTTTGATTTCACAGAAGTGTGATTGACTTGGAGTTATATTGTGTTGTTTAAGTGTTCCCTTTATTTTTTTTTGAGCAGTGTAGTTCCAGTACAGTTCAGTATACTATACACAACGCACATAGTACAGTACATAATACGCACATCTGCAAACAGTTAATCCCAGACAGAAATTAGGATGCATAGAGGATGGCTTTGATTGGATTAGTTCCTTCCTTTCAACCTAACTAGTAGTGTTAATGTGAGGAAAATGGTTACATATGACAACATAGGATGAAAATTTCTTAAAAGAATTAATAAAGAATGAAAAGTGAGGTCCTTGGTGCTCTCTAAGCTTGGTGGCTTTCTTGCAGACGTTTCATTATCCAACTAGGTGGCATCATCAGTGCTAGCATCGAACATCATCAGACCTAGCACTGGTGATGTTATCTAATTGGCTAATGTCTGCAAGGAAACCAAGCTCAGATAGCACCTAGGGACCTCACAAGTTCAACCCTGAGCTATAAATATTCTATCAGTAGAATGAAAAATAGAGGACAGTTATATAAGACCTGCCCAGATCTGGAAAACTTGAATAGCCATTTTCAAGAAGAACATCAGAAGAAAAATGAAAAGTAAAAAAGCTCACTATCAGAGATCAGAAAGAAAACAAAAATGTCTTTACAATATCTGAGGAAGGAAGGAGGAAGGGAAGAAAGGAAAGAAAGAAGGAAGGAGGGGGGGAAGGAAGGAGAGAGAAAGAAAGAGAAAGAAAGAGGAAGGAAGGAAAACACACAAAGACAGATATTGGGCATCAACATGATAACTTCTGTCCTATTTATCTTATGAGCTTCTTTAGGGAGGGAGGGAGGGAGGGAGGAAGATACGAATGTGGATAGGAAGGAAAAGATAGGAAGGAAGGAAGGAAGGAAGGAAGGAAGGAAGGAAGGAAGGAAGGAAAGAAAGAAAGAAAGAAAGAAAGAAAGAAAGAAAGAAAGAAAGAAAGAAAGAAAGAAAAGGCAAATATTGGGCATCAACATGATAGCTTCTGCCCTGTTTACCTTATGAGCTTCTTCAGGCTCCAACTGCAAATCATCAAGCCTTACTAGGTATATCATTCTGCAGCCAAGCTCCGGAAAGGTTGAGCCTGGCACCAAAAGAATACCCCCTGGATACAGGTCACGGCATTGGGGGATAGTCTCCAGAGCCTTCTGAGTGATGGCATGGATTCCTGAATCCCAGCCCAGCCCATCAGGATGCAGAGCAAGGGGTAGAACCACCACATCTACCTGTCCACAAAGAAAAAAGGTGCAAAGTCAATCAGATATTCAAGGTAAAAAGATATCCCAAAGGTGCTTTTTTCAAGAGGCAACTGGACTTTCTGGTTTTTCTTTGAAGACATTTCGTTCCTCATACAAGAAGCTTCTTCAGAGAGAAGAGAAGAAGCTTCAGTGAGCTGAAGTAGCTTCTTGGATGAGAAACGAAAGGTCTTCAAAGAAAAACCAGAAAGTCCAGTTGCCTCTTGAAAAAAGCACCTTTGGGACAATCATAGCCTGGATGACTGAGAATCTCCATAGACAAGGTAAAAAGATGCACACAGGAAAAAAAAAGCTGTACCTTATCTCCAAGACCACCCTCAGAGCTCAATTTCTGACTTATCCTGGGTGTTTTATGCTTTCACTTTTGTAAGCCCTTAGAACCGTGATGGAGAACCTATGGCACACGTGCCAGAAGTGGCATGTGACAGCTCACCCGGAAGAGGCCCACTGAGCATGTGCACGTGTCACCATCGCCCGACAACTGATTGTCAAGTATCTGGTGTGGGAGGGCAGCATACATTGCCTTCTGGGTGCTGGTACATGAGCATAAACTTATGAGTGCCCATGCAAGCATTGGCATGGGAGCCGAAAAAGATTTGCCACCACTGTCTTAGAACAAGGGTTTTCAAGTTTTGTATTGCCACGGTGATGACTGGGAAATGGGAGAAACCACTCACAGGAAAAAAAATAGCTTATGATTCCCATATGTTGTGCAAGTTTAAGACTTATGGACTTCAACTCCCAGAATTCCTGGGGGTGACATGACCAGAGGATAAATTCTGGGAGTTGAAATCCATAAGTCTTAAAGCTGTCAAGTTTGAAGACCCCTGCCTTAGCATCATGAGGCGGCATGTACACTTAATAAGCAACATCTGTTCCTCAGTTCAGAACTCCAACACAAGGAAAGTTTGGTCTTCTGTGTTGCCAGTTGCAACTCCTCCTCCAAAGTGCACTCTCCTCCATCATGTTAATATAGTAGGAGCACAGAATTATGCAAATGGAAGTTCCATAGGTTTTAAAAGTAGCCTGGAACCATAGCTGTTTTTTTCCCAATTCAAAAAATAAAAGTTTGGGGGCCTAACTCAGAACAGCACTGTGGAAGATTAAGCTCCTTAATTTTGACCAACTTGACGCTCTCATTTATGAGGCAGTTAGTAACTACCTCTTTGTTACTAACTGCTTCACAAATGAGACAGTTAGGCTGGTCAAGATTAATGAACTGAATCTTTCCTGATAGGGCTCCAAGTCGAGGCCCCAAGCTTTTACTTTTGAATCAGGAAAAAATAAATGATCTCAAGTGAAGGTTGCACTACAATTCCGCAATTAAAACATAACACCCTTAAGTTGTGGTTTGAATAGCTGTTGTTGCACAACATGAGAATTATACACTATTTTTTTCTGTGAGTGGTTTCTCCCACTTCCCAGTCATCACCTTGGCAACACAAAAGCTATTTACTTAAATTTTATCCTGCTACTATGATTGTAGGATGACTATTAAAGAAGCTATAAATCTCTAAATGAGGAACAGTCTGTAGGCCATTACTCATCAATTTCAAATCATCTGAAGAAAATACTGGTCTCCTGCTTGTCTAATCCTGCATCTACTTATTTATTTATTACACATACTTCTGTGCTGTCGTAATCAAAACGAGCATCAGGAAGGAGCTCCCAGAAAACTTGTCAAAAACCATGCAAGATTGTTCAAGTAAAACCTAGTGGAACTTTTTTTGTTGTTGTTTAACAATTGCAATAAACACACATCCTTTTCACATGTCCATGCTATTTTTCCCCCCATTTTCCTTCCTGTTCCTGCCCAATAAATTCAGGCAGTCCTTGACTTATGACCATAATTGAGCCCAAAATTTATATTGTTAAGCAAAACTGTTGAGCAAGTTCTGCCCCATTTATGACCTTTCTTGCCACAGTTGTTAAGTGAATTACTGAAGTTGTTAAGTTAGTAACACGGATATTAAGTGAATAGAGTAGAGTAGAGTAGAGTAGAGTAGAATAGAATATGGAACGGAATGGAATAGAATAGGGGAGGGGAGATAGAAGAGAAGTACAGTATGCTAGGCTAGGATATCATCTATATTAATACCTATACCCATACATATATTCCTCTATTTTGATTTATGAATCTAAAAATAGAATAGAACAGAAAAGAATTGAATTCTTTAAGTCACTTTTTTCAGTGGTGTTGTCACTTCAAAAGGGCACAAAAAGAATGTTTGTAAATGAAGGACTGCCTGTAACTGTTTTTTTTTTAAAAATAAAATAAAATAACAGATACTTACTTTTGTCGTTATATCAGGATTGGTCACTACCTCGATCTTAGTGGACTCTAAGGACAATAGCATGTTTCTTAACTTCTCTGAGTCATCCTTTCCAGAAGGCCAGTGCTTCTGACTTTCCTTGTAGAGTAGCTTAGCACCAAGCTCGTCTCTGGAGACCACATGAAGGCTTTTCAAGGGACCAATGGGGTGATTTTTCCTGAAAGCTTCCATTCCTAGAACTATGAACTCAGCCTCAGCTCTAGAGATTGTAGGGCCCAAGTAGGTGACAGTTACAGACTGGAACTCTTTGCCCCAGGCGGCTTCTAAAGCTAGTTTTATCATCCCAGCTGCTAGTTCTCTTGTGGGTGGGCATGAAAAGTGAATGTCCAGATTCGTATAAAGGGACCCTTCTGGGCTCCACACCCTCTGAGCAAGCACGGCGTTTCCACCGTCCAGACTACTACTGGTCCCTATCCTCACCATGGCATCTGCCCTGATGTGAGAAGCTTCTCCTTCCCAAAGGAAAAGATGGAATCCCTTATGGAGTTGGAAGAACCCAACCGCTTTGAGGTGTGGGAGATCCATGTGGTTGATTTGAATCTGGCAGCCTACAAAAATGAGCAATTTGCTTATAGCTTTTTTTGCTCTCAAAACCACCTCTGGGCAGCCAGTTAAAGAGATGGCTGACGAATTGCTTTGGGGGGCTCCCGAAACCTTGACTTTCCAAAGGGATGGAGAAAGGAGCCCCAGAAGTTGTTTCCACAGTTTTTGCTCTGCAGAAGTGATGAACAGAATCTCTGTTGTTCCAGAGGTTTCCCCGGTTGGTTTTTTGTATCTAGGCCTACTCATCTCTTCTTCATCAGAGACCTCCTGAAGTTCACCTCTTTGAACTGGACTTGATGGTCCCATGTTAAATTCTTCATTCATCATGGCCTTCCCCAGCAACTTAGCAGCTGCAAGAACCCTATTTGCTCAAAAAGTCCTCTTGATAAAATTACTCAAATACCAATTCACAGCTTACTTGGCCTGAGAAAGCAGGATTCATTTCATTTCATATCTGCCCAGTTGATTCCTGAAAGAGAATAACAGGTGAGAAATAGTCTTTAAAGGAAAGACACAAGGATTTATCAAAACCCACATTAAAAAGTCTACCTGGCCGGTGACACACAGGCAGTCCTTGACTTACGACCACAATGGAGCCCAAAACATCTGTTGATAAGCGAGACAGTTGCCAAGCAAGTTTGCAATCTTTCCTGCCATGGTTGTGAAGTGAATTAATTGCAGTTGTTAAGTAAGTAACACGGTTGATAAGTGAATCTGGCTTTTACTCAACCTCTGGCATGGCAACTCTCATAAATATGAGTCAGTTACTAAGTGTCTGAACTTTGGCCATGTAACCATGGGAATGGTGCAATGCAGAGGTGGTATTCAGCAGGTTCTGATCAGTTCTGGAGAACTGGTAGCAGAAATTTTGAGTAGTTTGGAGAACCAGCGAATGCTACCTCTGATTGGAGATTTTACAGTATCCTTCCCCTGCCACACCCACCAAGTTACGCCCAAAGAACCAGTAGTTAAAATAATTGAATTCCATCACTGGTGCAAGTGTGAAAAATGTCCCTAAGTCATTTTTTTTCAGTGCTGTTGTAAGTTCAAACAAATTGTTGTAAATTGAGGACTATCTGTACACTATTTTCCAGTCACAGGAAGCCAGATGTTGCCAGATTTTGATCTGTTAGGATAAAGAGGTTAGGCCACAGGCCTGTCAAACTTAACAGCCTGCCGGATGTGTCACATGCAGACCACGCCCACCCCAGCTCCACAAAGGCAAAAAACCCACATCATGATACGTCACGATATGTCACATGATGTGATCGAGTTTGACACCTGTGGATTAGGAGGGAAATAAAATAGGTGATAATTGCAAGCCAGGTCAGACAGATCTTCCCTTGGGTGGTGGAATGGAGTGTGCTGATTTTGGTCCTGCAAGCAGAGAGAAGAAAGTGTGTGCTGCTTAAAGAATGGATGCAAAACTTCTATCGTTTCAAGAACAGCCCCAGATTTTGTGAGGAACATCAATGACAGGCCTTTAAATAAGGGTGGGGTCCAAAGAACCATCTCTTGGGGGTGTAAAGAATTTGAAGAACAAAATGAATCTCTATGGAGATTCTCAGTCACCCAAATCATGGTTGTCTCAAAGGTGCCTTTTTCCAAAGAAAAAAAAACAAAAAGTCCAGCTGCCTCTTGAAAAAAAGAACCTTTGAGACAAAATGGATCCTTTAAGCACCAGAAAACTATAAAGCAACAATTTTGTTCCTTAAAATCCCCCAATGTACTAAAAATAATAGAATAACAGAGTTAGAAGGGACCTTGTAGGTTATCTAGTCAAACCTCTACAGGGGACCGTACACCATTTCTTACAAATGGCAGTCCAGTCTCTTCTTGAAAGTTTCCACTGATGAAGCTTCCACAACTTCTGAAGGCAAGCTGTTCCACTGGTTGATTGTTCTGTCAGAAAATTTCTCCTTATTTCTAAGTTGTATCTCTCCTTGGTCTGTTTCCATCGATTATTCCTTGTCTGGCCTTCAAGTACTTTGGAAAATACCTTGACCTCCCCCCTCCCATCTGTGGCAGCCCCTCAGATATTGGAGCGCTGCTATCATGTCTCCCCTGGTCCTTCTCTTCACTAGACTAGCCATGCCCAGTTCCTGCAACCGTTCATAGTATGTTTTAGCTTCCAGGCCCCTAATCATCCTGGTTACTATACACTGCACTCTTTCCAGAGTCTCAATGTCTTTTTTATATTGTGGTGATTAAAAGAAGCAAAAATGTTGGCTGCTCTGGAAAGATCTGGAAACCACTAAAAGGATGGTTTAAAAGGATGCTTTTAAATCCCCACCCCACCCCACCAACACCCAATCTTACAGGAAGATGAAAACATGCTTAAAGAAAGTCAGTGACAGCATGCATTTGGGGACAACAGTGCACAAAAGAGGTCCATTTATTGTTTTCTAATAGCTTCTTCTTCTGTTCCAATTTTAGTAGCTACAAGAAAGTGGGACAAAACTGGACTTGTAGATTTCATCCGACATCATCCTCTTGATTCCAATAACTCTGGTCCATTCATCAGGTTTTCCCAACTGGATAACGACCAAATATATCTTGACTACAGTTGCCATTTTTCTTAAGTGACAGCCTTTTGTATAATTTGGCTTTAAAGGACTGGAGCAGCATCTGATGGAAATTTTTCCTAGATTAATTCTAATTTGTTATTGTTCCCTATCTTTTTTCAGATTGCATAGATCTGTTTTATTGTTCACTTGCCTAGTCCTATCTCAACTGTTTGACCTTATTATCTTGTCCAATTTTATCTTTAAAATAACACAGTGAAATATGTTAGGAAAAAAAGCATCAGAGCAACCAAGATTATCTCATAGCTGCATAGAAATTCACACGTCAGAGATCTCGATTCCAGATTCAGATCTTACCCAAGGCATCCTATGAATTCAGTTCATCTATCACCTCAAGGCATGCTTTGTGAAAGCATCATACAGATAGTCCTTGACTTACAACCATTGGGAACAAAATTGGGATCAAAATTTCCATCGCTAAACCAACCTGTGCTTAAGCATGAGTTATGCTTGATTTTACAGCCTCTATTTTTGCCATGGTTGTTGAATGAATCATGCAGTTGCTAAGTTCAATCAAGCTTCTCCCATTGTGTTTGCTTTTCACCTGGGAGGGTTGCAAAGGGTACTCACATGACACTGGGATGCTGCAACCATCAGAAAAACGCATCAGTTGCCAAATGGCTAAATTTTGAGCATCAGTCCCTGGGGATGCTTTGACGGTCATAAGGGCAAGGACCACTTTTTCTCAGTGCTGTTGTGAATTCAAACTTACAACTAAATGAATGGTAGTTGAGGGCTATCCAATATACCGTGTTTTCCCAAAAATAAGAACCAACTGGAAAATAGCATGATTTTTCAGAATGCTCATAATAAAAGTGCTACCCTAAAAATAAGTCTCTGTTAAGATTGTCAGTCATATGGGTGTATTTAGTACCATATTTCCCCCAAAATAAGACCTAACCAGAATATAAGCGCTAGTGCATCTTTTGGAGCAAAAATTAATATGACCACTTCTTATTTGGGGGGAAACACAGTAGTCGACCTACGTCTGGGCTGACACGAACCAACTAACCTATAAACAGCAAATGGTTTGTGCCATCATTCTCTTTTAGTCCAATCTATGAAGTCATTAGTATCACATAGAGAAAAATCAGAGGAGCAAGCACCCTACATGCCATCTTCAATCCTTGAATGAAAGGCAGGGGAGGAAGGGAGGGAGGAAAGGGGGAGGGGGAGGGAAGGGAGGGAAAGAAGGAAGGAATATACCAGTTCACATACATTTTTGTTGCTAAGTGAGACATGGCTTTTCTTGCCAATCTTTGCAATTGTTAATAACCTGGTTGTTAAATTAATCTGGCTTCCCCCACTGACTTGTAAGAAGCTCACAAAAGGAGATACCATGACCCTGGGACACTGCAACCATCATAAATATGAAGCTATCACCAAGTGTCTGAATTTTATTTTGTATGTTTTATTTGTATTCATAAACATTTTTGAAGATATGAGAAAGATGCAAAAATAGGGGGTTTCTATAAAGAACCAACAACACCTGATAAGGTATTATTAGGGACAGATCAAAATCTGATTTAAAAATACATAACTATTTATTAAATTTATAAAATGGAAGAGGAGCAAGTAAAAGAAACAATGATTGTATGGGCATAAAATTTTGGTTATACTATAGAATTAGATAAATGGTAAAAACTTTGGGACAGGAACTATAAACTGACAATGGCTACTGCATATAAGGAAAACCTCTACAAAATGTTTTATAGATGGCACTTGCCACCAGCAAGATTAGCAAAAATGTTTAGCAACATGTCCACCAAATGCTGGAAGTGTTATCAAACTCCAGGCACTTATTATCATATGTGGTGGACTTGTACAAAAGGAGGAAAATATTGGATAATTATACATACATGGTTGGAAAAGATGATTAAGCAACCTATAGTTTTTTTGAAGCCAGAAATATTTTGGTTGGGTATAATACCAGAGGGTTATGATAAGGGGACTGTATATTTAATTTTGCATATATTGAAACCTCAGATTTGCCTTTTTTTGTCATTATTTACTCCACATCTGGGGTGTTTCAACCCAAGAATGGAGAGGTAATGATGATAGTTTAATAAAAGTGTTCTATCTCGGGAACAAAGGGGAGGCCACACCAGAGCATATCAAATAACACGCTTTATTCAGGGAATAAAGGGGGCTGTCGCGTCTGCATGCTAACACAGACCTTCTAGCGAACAGCGGCTGGCTCGACCTAGCAGCCGGCTTTTATAGCCGGCTGTCGAAGGGAGCCAGCCAATGGGGGCTGCTAACGCCCCCGCAGGATGAACGGACCTGATAGGGAACTTGTGTCAGTCCCGGGGACATAACACCCCTTCCCCCCAGATACGAACACGAATAGTCCTTTAAGTAAGCGGGTGGTTTGTGCGAGTGCCCTGACCGGCGCAATTCTGGTGATACACCAAGTGGCATAGAGTTCTGGGAATCAGGAACTGGCTTTGTCGGGCGACAGGATCGATCTGGTGTTGGAGTCTGGAAGTGGTCACAGTCCTCGGGTTGGATTGTTAAATTGTCATTGTCACGCAACCCGGTGGTGTCGTTGGTTGGTATGGCTGGCGACTCTGTAGGACAGTCCCGGTCTACCGTCCGTTCCCTCGACTCGGCTGGTGGAGACTGGTCACCCTGGAGGTTTCAGCTAGGATTCGTGTGCGGCGATTGGAGAGTCACTGGAGCCCCTGGGTCAGCATTGGCATGTTCGCCCTGGCGACTTCTTATCTGGTCCAGATGCCTCCGCCAGATACGCCCGTCCTCCAACTGGATGCGGTATGACCTTGGGCCGGTGATGGCCACGATCTTCCCGGGTACCCACAGTGGATCGCCTGCGTAGTTCCTGACAAACACTTGGTCCTGTAATACAAAACTCCTGACCCTAGTG